CCTGGTTCATATGCCGTCACTCAACTGCTGAGCCATGATGGCCGGGAAATTTTGACTTACTTTACACATTTATGCTACTCTCTACCCCCTGCCTCTGGCAACCCACAATCTATTCTATTAATAAATTGGCTGGGGCCCTAACCGGTTTGGCTCAGTGGTTAGAGCATTGACCTGTGGACTAAAGGGTCCCAGGTTAGATTCCGGTTAAGGGCATGTAGCTGGGTTGTGGGCACATACCCAGTAGGGAGTGTGCAGGAGGCAGCTGATCGATGTTTCTCTCTCATGGATGTTTGTAACTCTCTATCCCTCTCCCTTCCTCTCTGTAAAAAATCAATAAAATATGTTTTTAAAAAAATTGGCTGGGTTTTTTGAGTCCACATGTAAGTGAGATCATATGGTATTCATCTTTCTCTGTTCTGACTTATTTCACTTAGTATATGCTCTTAAGGTCCATCCATATTGCTGCAAGTGGCAAGGTTTTCTTTTTTTGTTATGACTAAGTAATATTCTATTATATATGTACTAGAGGCCCGGTGCACAAAAATTTGTGCACTCAGTTGGGGGGGGTTCCCTCAGCCCGGCCTGTGCCCTCTCACAGTCTGGGACCCCTTTGGGGGATGACCATCTGCTGGCTGAGGCCTGCTCTCCAGGGGATTGGTCCTAAGCTGGCAATCAGACATTCCTCTGGCAGACTGGCAGCCCTTGGGGGATGTCCACTTGCCAGCGGGGAGCAGACCGAAGCTGAAGTCAGACATCCTTAGCACTGCTGAGGAGGCAGGAGAGGCTCCTACCACCACCTCTGTACTGGCAGCCACAGCCTTGCTTGTGGCTGAGCAGAGCTCCTCCATGTGGGAGCTCACTGACCACCAGCGGGCAGCTCCTGCATTGAGCGTCTGCCCCCTGGTGGTCAGTGTGTGTCATAGTGACCAATCATTCCCTGTCTTTCTGATGTTAGGGTCAGTTTGCATATTACCCTTTTACTATATAGGATAGATGCCTGATGCATGGTGGGTGGGGGTGGGCGGCTGGTTTGCCCTGACTGGTGTCCCGGATCAGGGTGGGGTCCCGCTTGGGTGCCTGGCCAGCCTGGGTGAGGGGCTGATGGCTGTTTTCAGGCTGCCTGCACCCCCTTTAGGGTGGGTGTCCCCACTGGGGTGCCTGGCCAGTCTGGGTGATGGTCTGAGGGCCGTTTTCAGGCTGGTGGATGACTGAAGTACCCAACCTCTCCTTTTTTTCTTTTTTTTTTTTTTATTCTGGGATTTATTTACCTTCTATGGCTGTCACTGGAGCTGAGAGCCAGCTTTAGCTCTGTGGCCCGGCTTCAGCTCTGAGACCTCGGCTGCTGAAAGTAGGTATCTGAGATTTGTTTAGCTTCTATAATTGAAACATATTTGCTGAGAGTGCAGCTCAGAGCCGGCTGCGGCAGGCGGGAAACCTTGGCTTCCTCCATCGCTGGGGCAACCAAGCCTCCTGTTCGCTTCAGCTGCATGGCTGCCGGCCGCCATCTTGGTTGTCAGTTAATTTGCATATCGCCCTGATTAGCCAGTGGGAAGCATATCAGAGGTACAGTTAATTACCCTATTTGTCATTTATTAGATTAGACTAGTGACCCGGTGCATGAAATTCATGCACATTAAAAGGAGATTAATTAGAGGAAATATGTTAATATTGCTATTTTCCCTTTCTCTATAATAGAAGTGTCAGAGATGAAAGAAAATTTGTAAAATATATATGAAAAATCTTCCTCCTGTCAGAGTCTGGGGCATGCTGCAGAATCCAGAGTCAAGTCCTCGCCCACCCATGGAGCCTCAAAATCTTGTGAGACCCAAACCCAGCTGGCCCCACCCTTGTTAAAACCCGCCGAGTTGAGGGCACAGCCTCAGGTTCCCTGTCAAGCTCTTCCAGGCAGGAGGTGTAGCCTTATGTCCCCCAGTGCACCCTCAGGTCCTCCGGCCCAGTGCCGGGGCAGAGGGTGCGGCCTGAGGTCCCTTGCCCTGGCACCAGGTCAGGCAGTGCACCTTGAGCTGCCCTGGCAAGCCCTGCCTGGCCGGGGCATGGCCTG